TCAGCCAGGCCTCTCTAGCCTCCAGTGCCCACCAGGGGAGTGTGAGCACTGGACTGTGAGCCCTGGGCCTCAGTTTCCTCTCTGGAACAAGAGAAGACAGCAGTTGCCACCTCACAGGGCCACACAAGACTTCAATGAGACCACACATGCAGGCTGAGCACCATGCCTGGCTTCCCACCCTGAGCACCTCTGTCCTCCGAGAATTGTCTCACTCAGGTCAGCTTTCAGAATGCAGCTCCCAGCTGGGGTGCAAGCAGGACTGGTTCAGCCCCTAGTGTCTGGGCCTGACTGGATTTCTCGGAAGATCATGCTGCCTCTCCCTACAACCCCCTCCCCCAGCACCAGGCAAAAAATGGGTGAAAGGGTTGGGCAGCTTTCCCAGGCTGGCAGCCAGAAGAGACAGGATCTGGAGTGCTTGCTTCCTGGCTCTGCTACGGAATTGCTGTGTGACTTTGTGCAAGGCCTTCCCTCTCTGTGCCCCAGTTTCCTTTCTCCACTGGTTGAGGAAGCAGGTGTGGATCCTCCCCCTGGCTGTACCACTGGCTGGTTCGGTTACTATGGGAAAGCTGACCCCTCCAGGGCTGTTTGTTTTATCTGCAAAATGGTATGCCCAGGCAGATTAATGAGATTACTCCTGATCTCCCGGTGTTTCTTTGGTCTTTCTGTTGCCCTCTTCCCCATTTCTCTGGTCAGAAGAGGAACTGTGCCACCCAACTGGGGCAGGCTATCTGAGGCTTCAGAGAGCAAACTGGAACCTTAGCAGCATGTCTTCCTGTGCTGGGCAGGACCAGGACCAAGACCAGGCGTTTGATATGCTTTCTCCCCACTCCGACCCTAGGAAGCAGAGAGGGCCTCTGTGTCCACAGGCTGGCTTTGACATGACAGACGACACAGGGCCGCATGTTGAGTGCTCATGGTGCAGGAGCAAACCTGTCAACAGAGGGAGTTCACTCAAGATTTCAGGAGAAGGAAATTGGGGCTTATACCTCATATCATGGCTTCAAAGTTAAACCTGTTCTCAGAATACCTGCAGGAGACTTGCCCTGGAGGTTACCGTGCCTGCTGGCCTCTCTCCATCACACTGCTTCCTTCCCATTTCCCTCTTTTGTTCCCCAGTCTTGTGGGCCGCCACAAGAACCCCAAACCTTCTGTTACACAGAACAGTTGGTCAGTTCTCAGTTTTGATGGGGACAGGTGTAGGGGACTTGGATGCTTCCATAACCTCCATCACCTTCCTCAAAGCCATCCCAAATAAAGTCACCCCCAAAGACACCTCAGGACTATCTTGTTTCTGTAAGCACACACAACATGGTAATGAGCCCTCTCCAGCCTGAGCCCTCTCCAGCCTGTGCCCTCCGAGCCCCTGTGTCAAGCTCCTGCTTTCCAATTTGCTCACCCAAATTCATCAAAGGGCTCAGTAGGGCAACGGCTTTTCCACCAAAAAGTATCACCTTCCACGGAAGCTGCATGGAGTAGAAAGGCATGTTTCCGATGTCACTCATCCATTTCAATTCATTTTTACTAAATTCTGCAGGACAGGAAACACTGTCCTGATTTTACAGCAGTGGAACCTGGGCTCCTGGCCAGATGGAAGGTAGGCTGTCCCCACCACAGCCCCAGGCCCTGGCCCATCAGCGGTCCTTTCTCCTCTTCAGCACTCTCATGCCCCAGGTAGGTCCCAACAGGCTCCACATAGCCGCACTCCCAGCCCAGGACACGGCTGCTCCCCGGCTCCTGCACAGGTGATCCCAGCCGCCTGGCAGATACCCTGATCAGAGGTCTGAGGTTGTTATCAATGTCATTCTTCATATTCTTTCCCAAACTCTGCCCTCAGGCATGTGGTGCGATGGCATCTCCCTGTGCCCTTGTGATTGGGTTGGGGTCATGTGACTAGTCCTGGCCAAGGAAGTATGAGAAGTGACATTTGTCCCCTCAGCCTGGAGTATTTTATTGCCAGGAGGAGACGCTCCCCCACTGCGGAGGCCACGGATAGCCTTTGAGATGGATGGTGATGGCCACAGCCCCCTGGGCCCTGGCGAGGAGCCTCGGGAGCCCGGCCGGCCCCCGGATACATGCTGTGTGTAACACACGACTCCATGTTAGGAGCCACGAAGACTTGGGGCTGTTTTTCTTCAGCGTGACCCAGCCTACCTGGACTAGTCCAAATCTCCAGAAAGCGAAATCAGGGTGGGAGCTGAGATGGCATGGAAGAACTTCTGCCTCTGGAGACCTGTCTGGATTCTTTTATGAGACGGTCAGTCAGGCGCAGCCACAGAGGACAGGCTGGGGAAAACAAAGTTTCTTACACTCTCAGACCCTAGAGACAGGAGGACGCCTGCCACTCGAGGTCACATGGCCCTGCTGCAGGCGGCTGGGGCCCTGCACTTGGAGAGAGGGGATCCGAGGGGAAGAACAGAGGAGGTGCGGGGCCTCTCAGGACATCAGCTTCTCTCTCACTGGAAACTTCTAGAGTAACCATCTCAGGGAGAGTCCAACATAAACATGGTTCAGAAAGGATGAAGGTTTTTATATGACTGATCTTTGATCACACTTAGAGCAGTAATGGATACAGGTTTCTCACTTGGATGATGCAGTAATCCCGTAACGTGGATGGATATGTAATAGTTCACATTTAGTTAGCATTTGCCCTGAGCCAGGCATTAAGCAAGTACTTTATTTGTGCTAATAAATACAAAGTGAAATTATTTCCATTTCTCAGGTAAGGAAACTGAGGCCCAGGGAGGTCATTTGCCCAAGATCACATGGCCTAACAGTAGGGATTTGAGCCTAAACTGTGCCCCTTCCGGATGTCATGTTGGGTATCATGAGGGTGTTATAGATCAGGGTCTCTGGCCAGTGCCTGTGCTTCCAGGCAAGGGACTGAGGTACTGGGTGGGATAAGTGGGGTACAAGTGTAAGGGACTGTAGGACACTAGCCTGCTGGGCCTCTTGACCTCTAGGACCTTTGGCTACCACCTGGGACATCTGGGACTCAGAGGCACAGTGACTCTTGGAGTCGAGGCCCGGCCTTTCCACTCAGGCTGTGTGGCCTTGGACAGGGGGCTCCACTCTCTGAATCTGGGGCTGCTGTGAATAGAGGAGACTGGGTCATGCCACAGGTCCAATAGAGCATCCAGCATGGAGAAGGAGTCCAACAAACGGACCTCTTCCTGTCATTATCATTCCACAGTAAGGATACAGCATGGTGACATAACCACCCAGATTCCACGCAGAGGCAGGACCGCACAGCGGTACTTCGCTCTGGAGCATTTTCACTTGAACCAGGTAACTTGTAGCTTATAGCTGGACTGATTCCATGAGGAAGTTAGAAGCTAACATTTACCGAGTGCCAGCTGTGCCCTAGGAACTGTATATGACTAACTCATTTAATCCTCAAGATAAGCCCGTAAAGCAGGTCCCAATATTCCCATATGTCGATGTGGAAACTGTAGCTTAGAGAGGTTTAGTAACTTGTGCAACATCACAGATCTGGGACTCAGATTTGACACTGCAGCCCTGCCCAACCCATCTTTTAAATAAGTGAGCCATGAAGTGTTCCTGTGATTGGCTTTTCTGCGAGGGGCATTTGTTCATTCAGTGAGCCCGCTGTGTGCCTGGCAGGGTGCTAGGCCCTAGGGATAAGACCCTCACAGACAGGCCCCTGCCCTCATGGAGCACCCACCAGGTGGCACAGAGGTTTCACCTCAGGGGCCAAATCCAGGTGGCAGTAGCTGCCTGCGACATTCTCGTAAGAGGATTCTGAGCCACCTCTGGGTTCAGCGGCTGATCACTCACTCAGGTCTGCCAAGGGTGCTGTGTGGAGTTCCTGAGTGTCTGCTGCATACTGGACACCCATTTTAGACTTTTGAAGAGTGTTCATACCAATGTGTGTGAAAGCAGAAATATATCCTGGTCAGGGCACAGGTTCCACTTTTTATTTTGAAAATAGCTCTGTAGGTCTAATAACTAGGCCCTGCCTTCAAGGGACAGAGGATCTAGTTGGCAGCCTACAGGACACATGAACAACACAAAATGATTACTATCAAAGAATGAACCAGAAAGTCCGATCCAGCCCTCAGAGGTGGGACAGGCCCCATGAGGGGATGAGAAAGGAAGCTTCCTGGAAGAGGGGCTCAGTGGCTAGGTGGGGTGGGGCAGAGGGAAGGCGTTCCGGAAGCAGGAGCACAGGCAAAGGGATGGAAGTCTGAAGTGGGGGTGGGAGTGGAGAGGATTCCAGCCTGGTTGGGGGGACAAGGTTGAAAAGGTAATAAATGAAGGTGGAGGGTGGACCATGTGGCTTCAAATTCAGGTCTGGGAGTTCAGTCCTGACCCTAATCCACCCTCCTTTGATCCTTCAGCAGGGACACTGAAGACTCTGACCAAGGTCATGCCCAGTGAAAGAGACTTCTTGGTGGCTGGACTAGGGATAAGTGATGGGAGGTGCTAGAACACCATGGAATGAAAAGAAGACCCCTGCGTGTAACTGGGGTTAGGGGACTGGGTCCTAGGCCTGGATCTATGCCAAGGTGCTGTGTGACCACAGGCAAGTCCCTTACCTTCCTGGGCTGGTTTTCCTCCACCATCTCTCTTTTTTTGGACTTTTTACACAAAGTGTAAAAGGTTTTTATTATTTGTAACATAGGCACAATTATTTAAAGTTAATAAATTTTTATTTAAAGAATTTCACGTTCTGAGTCCTTCCACGCACTACCTTAGTTTCTCCAGAGTTTGACTCTTTAATCCCTTTTTTTTGCTCAATCCAGTTGTCATTTCAGTCAGTCCTATGTAACAGGAATAGACATGATCATGTGATCACAAACTATCTGGTCACTAGCAACCTAGAAGGATTAGCTAGACAGAGGACATCAGCAAGACTCTAGAGATCTAAGGCAGCTGCGTAAAATCTCACTGCTTACCAATGGCTACTACGAAATCACATATAGCTTGTGTTATATTTATATTGGACAGTGCTAATCTAGACAATGAAAATAAGGTTAAGAAAATGTTCCCAATAAGCTGAATGCTTCCAATGTAGTAGAAAGAAAACCTAGTTGGAAAACATTTTGTAGTCACGTCCACAGCGAATGAGAAGCTGTATTCTAAAAGCCCTGGTAACGAGCATCCTCCATCTTCTCTTAAAGGCCCTTTCAGACCATGACTAAATGAACTGAGGTGTGTGTGGGGGTGTCAGTTGGTTTAGTCAGGATCTCTTATTTCCTACTTTTCTTTGGCCTTGAAGACCTGGCCGAAGGTGGGCCCATCACCCACGGTTCACTTCATGCTTCAGGACCATGTGGAGCAGCCCTTGGGTGTGTCTACACCTCAGCTTCAAGTGGCATTTGTCTCACAGAAGAGAAACATGACCTTGGAGCCACTTTCCAGCTGCGGGACTTGGAAAGGGCCTGTGCCTCTCACACCTGCTTACAGGAGTGGAAGGAGCCACTGAGAGGACACCTTTCAAATACCTGGGGCAGTGTCTTTGCTCTGCAGGCAGGACTCTTCATGAGTTTATTTGAACCAAACTGAGGACAATTTCCAGGAAGCAGAATCTCAATGGATTGAGAAAACGCTTTGGAGAATGGCAGCTTATTTTATACATTAGAGTAAAAGGAGATGTAAGGAGGGTTACACGAAATCCATTCGTGGTAGGTTACGGTGGCAGGTGAAAGCAAAGTGGGGAAATCTCTGAGCATGAATAAAAAGGCAAACTAGAGAAACACATACTTCTTTCACATTGGTGGGCACAGGATAGTTAATTAACATTTGCAGCACATAGCGAGGGTAACCGGGACACAAGGTAACAATGAGGGTTCCATGATCTGCTCTGGTGCAGTCAGTTATGCCTTGACAGGTCTGGAAAAGATCACTCTGACATTTCAAAGGTATGCTTGCTATCTTCTTGTTTTGTTCTGTTTTTATCCTCACCCAAGGACATTTCCCCACTTTTGTTCAGATAGAGTGGAAGGGAGAGAGAGGAAGGAAGAGAAACATTGACATGAAAGGGACACATCGAGTGGCCGCCTCCCGCACGACCCCAACCAGGGCCAGGGATGAATCGCAACCCAGGTACATGCCCTTGACTGGAATCGAACCCGTGACTCATTGGTCCACGGGCCAACGCTCTAACCACGGAGCCAAACCGGCCAAGATATGCTTGCTATCTTAGGTGCACATACAATAGACAGGCTCACTTAAAGTAAAGATTGACCTTTGTCAAGGAAGCGACAAGCCTAGGATGAATGGCATGACCTGCTTTTAGTTAGTAATTTTAATGTTCAAACCAGCCTATGTGGCTACTTTTGGTTTGTGAGTTTGTAAGGCTGCCATGCAGGCCTCCCCTGAGCCTGTCAGGGTTGTAGTATGTGGCCCTTTGTCATCCACAGTGCTCAGTTGATAACAACTGCTTTTCTTGCTATTGTTTCTATTATGTCTCCTGTGTGGGACCCGTGGCTGTAAGCTCCTCCGAGGGAGCAGTTATCTCCTCCATGGTGCCGATCACCAGCTGGGCCCCATCAGGGTCTGACATCCAAGGCTAGTGCAGCTCCACCCAGGCTTGTCATGAGGACTGTGACTGGGACCTGCCTGGCCTGGTGAGTAGCCCTGATACTCACCCCACCCTGTGTGGGTGGCCCTGCGTCATTCATATGGGACTGCCCCGAACACAGGTCCCCAGTCCCTTCCCAGGCACCAAGTGTGACAGGCACCTCTGTATAAGTAAATCTACCAGGAACTAAACAAAGTCCATCCCCCTATTCTAATTTTATATGATTATTTTTGGGATACAGAATACATTCAAATGTTTCAAAATTTAAAAGGTATAAAAAAATGTGCTATAAAAAAATCCCCTCCTACCCCAGCACACAGCCCCTTAGTTCCCCCTTCCTGGAGACAACCAATCTAAATTCCTTTTAAAACAAATTTAATTTCCCTCCTCCTTGCAATAATCATAAGCATACAAAGCAAAAACTAACTTCAAAACCAAACCCCACCGCCTTAGAATATATATAAAAATACAAACCAAACCACACCCACCATCCAGATTTTCAGCATTTTAGTATATGTCCTCCCAGACTGTTTTCAATGCATATCTACTTTTCAAAAAATGAAAACAAATCACAAGAAGAGTATGACAATATTGATTTTCAGTATCTTGCCAGTAGCTCAGGAACATTTATTTCCTCATGGCTTCTTCCTGAAACAACCCAGACTCCAAGGATGGGCATTTGGGATTTCCAGATTTCCCTATCATAAGCAACATGGTGATGGGCCCTGGACCTCACTGCCTACTTATTTATTTGTAACAAATTCCTAGAAGAAGAAATGCTGGGTCACAATTTTTTAAGACCCTGGCTACCCATCAAAACTACCCTTGCATTCAGCAGGACTGGTGTCCAATTCAAATCTGATTCTTCAAGGCCAAGAAGTCTTGGTTCAAACCCCTCAACAGTGGCAGCTGTGTGTGCCCCTAACCCCACCTCCACACCTAGACTAAAGCCAAAGCCTTCCTCTGGGCCTGGTCACCCCTGTTTAGCCTGCCACAGAGAATGACCTGGGCCTGCCCCAGGTGAGTCAGCTGACCAGGAGGCGGGCACCGCCCTTCCAGGAGCAGGAAGGCAGCTGAGACAAGGGCCACCACCTTCCAGGGAGGGAAACAGACTCTCAGCCGTGGCTGGAGAAGGACGTGAGCAGCTCCAGGACTCCAGGTAAGATCTGGCCCCACGCGCCTCTTTGCCCTAGTTTCCCGTATAGACTGGGACTGAGAGATTTGTTCTCACCTTCTGGGACTTCCTAAGCAGTTTCCTTTAAAGGTGCTTCACTCTGGGAGCAAAGTGTGAACTGGGGTTTCCTCTTCTTACCCCAGCCCTGGGCCAGATTTGAGGACTGAGAGATCTTTATTCAGACAAGGGTCCCAGCTTCCTTTTAACTGCCTATGAGGGTGTTCAAGGAGAGGGGACCCATCCTTTGCTCCTTGAAGTGGGCCCTTGGAAGGCCAGGCAAAAAGAAGCCAGTTTCCACAAGAAACTGAGAGTGCAGGCCTGTTTCTGTTACTTACTTCTCTGCCCGAAGCTGTTTCTATCAGTAACCTCCCTACCATGGCAAGGAACATACTGGGCCAGTGGCTTGACTTCTCTGACTGGTTTCCTCATTTGGAGACAGAAAATATCCCCACAAAGCCAGGCCTGAATGAGATAATGGCCATAAGAGGCCAGTACGTGTCCTCCACACAGCGCAGCCCAAGAAATGAAAATGCTGCTTAAAACGAGGTTGATGCACTGGGCACACACTGCATTGGCTGCTCTACACACAGTGGCCCAAACTAATCATTCTTATACCACCATCACCTTTCACCTGGACTCCGTGTCCATCCTTGCCCCTTAGGTCTATTTTCTAAACTTCAGCCAGAGGGTACCTATTAAAATGAAATTTGGATCATGTCCCTCTGCTCCTCAAAATTCTCCAGGGGCCCCTTCTCACTAAGGTAAATGCCAAGTCCTTGCCATGACCCAAAAGCCCTCCAGAATCTGGTCCCTCTACTCCCTCCACCTCCTCTCCTGCTGCTGCTACTCCTCTGAACCACTAACTTCAGTCTCACTGGTCAGACGTTCTCTAAACAAAACAGGCACTCCACCTCAGGGCTGCTGCAGTGGCTCTGTCCTCAGCCTGAATGCTCTTCCCAACCCCTTAGGCTCTTACTCAAGACACCCATCCCCCCACCCCCCCATCCCCCAGCGGTGAGGCTCTTCTGGACCTCTTGATACTCTCTACCCTGCCACTCTGCTTTACCTTTCTCCCCATCACTTCCCACCATCTAACACAGCATACACACTTATTTATCCCCAGCTAGAAAGTTAACACCCAAGGGCAGATTTCTCTTTTGTTCATGGCCTTATTACTGGGACCTAGAACAGTACTGGGATGTAGGTGCTCAGTAAATGTACTGATGAACAACTGCCAATGATTACTCTGTGCCCTTTATGTGTTAGATACTGTGCTAAGTGCTTTCCATTCATAGCTTATTTCTTAAGAATCTTTTAATCTCTATAACTCTGTTATCAAGTATTGTTGTCCATATTACCAAAGAAATGACATTCAAAAGGGACCTGTCCATGCTTGTTCTCACAAGATAGCAATCTGAACCCAGTCCTGCCTGCCTCCAAGGTCCTTGCCTCTCCTGGGCCTGGATTGGGAAGCACATGCATTCTCTGAAGTCCCCAGCTTCTCTGCAGCAGGCAGTACACCCTGAGAGGAGGAGGGGGCTCGTGCTGGTGGCCTAGCAACAGCCTCTTCCTTTCCAACTCACCACGTCCCTGGGCTAATTTGGCCTTCCAGGAGCTATTCCTCTGACACTCGAACCCACGCTTTCCTCCTGCACACTGTCTTCTAAAAGATGGATGAGTTGTCCATAGAACAAGTGGGAGTTCCCTATTTCAGCTCTCTGGAACAAAGTGTTCCAGAGCGATGTTCTCACTCCAGGTCCAAAGATGGGGCTGACGACCCCTTTTCAGTCCTGCTGAAATCTGAGGACCTGATTGCTGGTTTGTTGTGGGTGTTGTTATTGCTTAGATAAAAAATACTGAAGCTCAGGGATGGGGATTCTGGAAAGTGCAGTGGGAGGGAAAGCAGGTTCTTTTCCGTTCAGAGGGGCTAATTAATTGTAGGACTCCATCAGCACCGAACTGAGCAAATTCTTCCATTGCCAGAGTGTAGAGGCCAGACTTTCAATCTACCTCATTAGGCAGATTTCTCTCCCTTTTTAGACACAGGTTTTTTTTTTCTTTTTTGATTTGAGAGAGGAAGAGTGATAGAAACATAGATTGGTCACCTCCTGCATGCCATGCCCCCCACTGGGGATCGGGCCCACAACCTGGGCATGTGCCCTGACCGGGAATCAAACGGCTACCTCTTGGTGCATGGGTTAACGCTCAACCACTGAGCCACACCAGCCGGGCTCTTTTTTTCTTTTAATTTTTTATCCTCACCCGAGGACATTTTTCTGCATTTATCTTCAGATAGAGCGGGAGGGAGAGAGGGAGAGAGAAACATCGATGTGAGAGAGACACATCAAGTGGTTGCCACCCACATGACCCCAACCAGGGCCAGGGACAAACTGCAACCGTGGTATGTGCCCTTAGCAGGAACCAAACCCAGGACACTCTGGTCCCTAGGCCGACACTCTAACCACTGAGAAAACTGGCCAGGGCTCTTCTTTTGTTTTAAATCCTCATGGGAGGATATTCTTCCATTTATCTTCAGATAAAGTGGGAGGGGGAGAGAGAGAGAGGGAGAAACATCGATGTGAGAGGCACACATTGACTGGTTGCCTCCTGCATGACCCTGACCCAGGCCAGGGACTGAACCGCAACCAAGGTACACACCCTTGACCAAAATCAAACCCACAGCTCTTTGGTTCATGGGCTGACACTAACCGCTGAGCCAGACTGGCCAGAGCCCAGGGTTTTTCTTCAAAGGACTTTTTTGGGCTTTCTCTTCCCTCTGTGTCTGCTTTTCCACTTCTTTAAGAAATGGCAAGCAGATGCCTGCTGGGTGCCAGGCCCTGGGGATTCGTAAATGAGCAACATTCTTGACCAGAGAGGGAGACAGGCAAACAAATATAAAACAGTAGAATTCCCACCCAGAATTGCCAAAGGCCTTGATCACAGCAGGTACTAAATCAACTTTAGTTAAAAATGATGAATAGGTAAAAATGAGATGCTGTGGTATAGAGAAGTCTGTGCATGTGGGCATTTGGGGGAAAACTTAGAGTTCACCAGATGAGTAAGAGGGAGGAGGAAGGTATGAATGGCATTCAAAACAAAGGAAACAACACCCACAAAAGTACAAAGGTATGAACAAGCAGGGTGAGTTTTAGGATCAGCAGCCTGAAATGAATGAAATGCAAGATGAGTGCAGAAGAGTGAGGCGAGATTGGAGCTGTACTAGGAAATTTGAACACAAAGTTGAATTTTGAGATTTATCATAAGGACAAAAGCTGGTATGGATGACTTCAAGAGCAGGTGCTGAGTGTAACTCCCAGACTTCTGGCTTTGACCTTGGGTTGGACTTGGTGGGGCTGCTGTAGAGAGGCAGCAAAGCTGGGGATAAACGAGTTCAGGAGGTGGGTCAGATCTGGAACGCTGCTGGACTCTTAGGCTGGGGCCTCCCTATCCCTAGAATAGCATACACCACTCCCACCCTTCTGAACCCTCCATACTTCAGTATTCTTAGTGTCTCCTTCCTTCCTTAGTGTCTCCTGCCTTTCTCTTTGACCTAGCCTTTTGTCCTGTGCCCCATAGACCCAACCGCCTGAATCCTTTATAAAGGGCAGTGGGTACACTTTTGCGGTGGGAAGTGATCAGCTGGGCCAAGCACAAGCAGGGGCTCAGATCACTGTCACTTGGCTGGAATCGCAGGGTGACTGTGTGGAGTGGGCGGGGCACCTGCAGCTCAGCACCAGGTCAGGGGTCAGGGCCAGGCAAGAAACCGGTATGCGAGTGGGCGGGACGGTGACGTCACAGCGGGCAGGAAATAGTCGATTGAAGGCGCTTCGCAATCGCAGGGAGCGAGGCGGAATCCTTTTCAGTTTGAGAAACTGGCAGGGGAAAACGCGGGCGTGTAGACTTTGCCAGCCTCCTCTCCCACAGCCGCCTTGGTACAGAATCTTGTCAACAGTGAGCAGCCCAACTGCACCCTCTTTCTTTGGAGGCCATAAATGGCCCTCAGGGGTCAGAGGCCAAGGGGCACTAGCCCATTTAAAGCTTTGACCCGCGCGGCCTAAAGCCGGGTAAATAGAGGCCGCAGAACCTGGCCGAGCCTTCCTGTCCCTTACTCTGCTGGTTTACCTGAGTTCTTTTTGTGGATGCCAGCGCCAGCTACGGGCACCTGAAGAAGGCGGGAAGCCATGTGGATTCTAGTAACCAACCACGCCAACAACCCACGCAGCCAGGAAGCAGCCATTTTTCACCCCGCAACCGCAGAGCATTCTGGGACTGGCCCGTAGCCGCGCGCTGGCTAGGGTGGGCGAGACGCATGCGCCCTAGACCCCACAGCGCGCCCTAGAGGCCAGACAGGGCCTCTGCGCAGTCGCCGTCGCCCGTAGCAACCGGCGTGTCGCTTCCGGCCGGACTCGGAACGGAGGGTGCGTTGGAGTGTGAGTCCTTCCGAGCTCGTTGACCGGTCTGACAGATTGGGAAACTGATGCTGAGAGTGGAGAATAGCCTTTCTCCGGTGCCCCAGGGCCGGAGTTTGTGCTTGGCTCCTCCCATTTGACAGCGGGAATTGAGGCAGAGGGAGGGGGCGGGTTCGTCCACAGCGGCCATTTCCTCTGGGTAAAAAGTCACTATGATGCCCTATCTTACTACAAAGGAGAAATGAGAGCAATGAAAGTAATTTATAGTAAGAGATGACGCATTTCGCTCTGTAAAAGCTCATCCTGGATTACAACCTGATCATGCTTGTACCTAACTTAGAATGATTAAGTTTGGATTTAATAAAACACGATATTCAGCTGAGTTTCGCCAACAGATTATATTTGACATCTTAAGTGGAAGGCTAAATGTATTTGTATACAGACGTGGAATCACTGTGATAGCTATAAATACAGACATATATGGGTGTGTTCTGGTGACTGACTTGTGAAAAGGGTCGACAGTGGTTTTCCAAAATGGTGAAAAAAAAGTATAACTTCCTTCGATTAACCTGGTATATGCATTTCTGGGTAATATATTTTATATTAAAACCGGGGAAAACTCATTGAATTTGTATATAAAACAGGTTACAAAAGGACAGAGGACAGTTTATTGTGGTGAATTATTCTGTGCATTACAAGAGGTCCAGATCTTTGCTCCCTACTTCCTAAAGGCTAGCAGTGTCCCCTCAGTCTTGTGACACCCACAAATGCCCACACAGATTTCCACTCTGGTCTTTGGAAAACCACTTATTTATTCAGTCAGATAAGTTTTGCCAGCATTCCCATGGTGGGCACTCTGGTGGGGAGGCATTGTGAGGTGAACAGGATAAAGCCCCCTTCTGAGGTTGGGTCCAGCATAAGAAAATACCTAGATAGTAATCATATAATATGACAAACAGCTAGACAACAGAGGCAGTACTAGTTAGGTTAGGAACCAAAGAAGACCCAGCCAACTAGCAGAGGGTCCCATGACTTGAAAAAAACAAAGAGGTAGCATTTGAGCTGAGCCTTGAAAGGGCACCAGGCAGAGAGGCGTGGTGTGCCAGTCAGAGGGACCAGCATGACTGAAACAGGTCCAGGGTCCCCAGCACACAATTGACACTCAAATTCTGTGAACCAATAGGTGGATGGTTGGATGAGACACAGAGCCATATTTGCCGACAGGGAGTCATTTCCCACTATATCACGAACTGCTAAAAGGCAGGGAAATGCTTGCTTCTTGATTCCGCCCAGAACCCAAAACTGAGTTGGGACCCAAAGCAGTTGTCCAGTGAAAGGGTCACAGAAATGGAAAAAGGGTTGTGTTCCTGGCCTGGGAGTGATTTCTAGGCAGTGGAGTTCTGATTCTGCTGTCCCAGAGGGCAGCTGCTAAAAATACAGCCTCTGTTGCTTCAGCCTTGGAAAAACCAGGGCAGGGGTAACCTCTTACTTTCACATCTGCCATTCATACATGATTCTGGTGGCAGGGCATGTTTTTGGCAGATAGTACCTGCTGAGGACTGTCCTAAGATAAAAATCTCCCAGAGTATGTGTACAGTGGGGAAGGCCACAGTCAAAGGACTCCCCCCAGCTGGTCTAAAAGAGGTCAGAGTCAGTCTATCCCCTCTAGGACAATTCCTGACCTCATGAGATAATCATTTCTTCCCCAAAGGCCAGGCTAGGGAAAGGATCTGGAACCAACTGCCTCCAGGAGCCAGGCAGGCAGTGTAAATGGGCTGGACGGGTACTTGGGGAAATAGGAAAGCACAGGCAGCCCCATCTAGGAGCTAGGCTGCAGCTCAGCTCTGGCTGAGTGCTGCTGTGCATACCTGCTCTTGCGTTGCCAAATATTTTTATGGTTTTCAATACAGTTAGAAGTGAAGAATTTTATATTTCCATATTTTAAAATGTTGGCACTAATTCAAATAAAAACAAATAACAAGACTGAGAGGTGAACAAAACACCTTTGGGACCTCTGGGCCTTTTTTCCTTCCTAGGAAGGTGGGTGTCTTTAGAGCTTTGCCTCAAAGGAGAAAAGTGAGAGCCCAGGCAGAATTTATTGCTTCTGGCAATATTATTGAGTTAGTGTCCATGCTAGGGGTTAGGGGTTCCATAGCAAATGAGAAGGCCTAGTTCCTGCCCTTTTGGAACTCCCAGTCGAACAAGGTAGATGGACAAGTATAGAGGCAATTACAGGAAATGTGAATAGTCAGCAAGAATAAGGACATGGGGTGGGAAGGGGTGGGGGAAGACAGCACAAATCAAGGAAGGCTTCCGGAAAGAAGAGTACTCTGGTCTGGGACTTGAAAATGATTAGGAGTTAGCCAGGCAGGAAGAGGAAGGGATGGAGAACTATTCCAGAGAGAGGGAATAACACATGCAAAGGCCTAGAGACATGAACAAAACTTCATTTTTCCAAGGATCTGGAAGTAGCTCCTTCCTCACATATAATCTAGGAAGGAAATAAAGCATCACTGGTAATTCCTTTAAATTTCTTTGGGTACCTTGCTCCAAGGTCTTACTGATTCTCCTCTGGGACAGTTAGAAGGTATTTGGTAAATGTTATGGTGCTCCTCCAAACCCCTGTTCCCTCCTCCCTTAGGAGCAATGCTCTGTTGAGTTTTTAAGTTTTGCTACAGTTTGTATGCCTGTTTTTAAGAAATTCCGTTGCTCTTACTTCACTGTGGACAAGATCAAGGCTGGAAATGGGTGTGATGCAGTAAGAACTCAAATGCCCAGAGGTGAAAGTGGTGTGGGAGTGGGGAAGGAATTCTAAAGGACCTGCTGCCTTTCTGTTGTAATACTAAGTCCCCACCCACTAGACACTGGACAGAATCCTGTGTAGCTGTGGGACAATGTTTTTGCAAACCCCTAAGACAGGCCGGTGGGCAGCAGGTACTCACTATGAACCTGCTGGATTGAATTTAGGTTTTATAAGCATGTCTGATCTTTGAAACAGCAGGGAAGGATGTGGCCCCTAGTCCCGCTTTTCCTGGCCAGCATGTCCTGGGTGGTTCCCTGGGCTTGGGTTCTAAAGCCCAGAATCAACTGAGTGTAGTATAATGGAATTCTGCTAGGGTGGATGGAGACCATGAGTTTGAGAACCAAAAAGACTTGGGTACAAACCCCAGCTCCCCCATTTCCAAACTGGGAGATAATTATGCCTTCCTGATACATTTCTCATCTCGAGAGTGCTAACGGGCTCATGTGGACTGTGCCCCTATCACCCCTTACTCCTCCTTACCCTGCAGGGTGTTTCAAGGAACAGCCATGTCCACCCTGTACCCGTCCCTGGAGGACCTGAAAGTGGACCAAGTCATTCAGGTAAGCCTCCAGGCCCGTGTTAGCCTGGGCCCCCAGATGGAGCCTTCAGGATTACCCCAGGGTAACTAAAGGAGGCTCATCTTGGACATTGGTGGGTGGTCGGGGCCCCAGGCATGCAGGCCACCACTGAAGGGCCTGCTGGGCGGGGCAGGTGCCCAGAGGCCGAGGCAGTGGAGTTACAGCAGAAACAGAAAAGGCAGGCCTCTCTCATGCCTGCCTTGTCCCAGCGCTTCCTCCACACAGGTCCGGGTCCACACTACACTGTAGGGCAGGCTTTTGGCCTGCTCAGTCCCAAGCCCCTTCTTCCTTTCATCCCACCTGTGGTTCCAGTGGGTTTTGAGATTTGGGGACTTTTTGACTGAGAATTTGTTTGAGAGTTGAGCCTCAATATTCTAGCCACCTCAGGGAGGAAATGGGTCATGACATTTGGTGGCTTGTGGAGAATGACCATGAACTTCCCCAGAAACATGGACATCTCCAGAGACCACATTTACACACTACCTTGAAGGTTCATGGACGTCCCCACCCTCAGGCCCACCAGCATACATAATGCCCTGACTCCCAGGTTCCAAGGGTCCCAGGGAGTCCCAGACACAGCTGACCAGCACCCCTCATCTCTCCCCAGGCCCAGGCCAGAGACACACCCAAGATGCCCGCCCTGCCCATGCAGGAGACAGCTATCCCCCAGCCATCAGGTGAGTGAGCGGGGTGGGGGTGCCCCTGACAGAGAGGGACCTCTTCTGGCCATCTCCTAGTGTTGGTCTCTTGTCTGCTCCTGTGCTGTGCGCTCTAGACATGTTTCACCTCCACCAGAACCCTTTGAGGGGGACACGGAGAAAACTGTGGCTTAGTGAGGGCACCCACTTCCCTGATTAGGGGCCTTCTTCTATGGTGCTGCAAGAGGGGACCAAGATGTTGTGTTGGCCCCTAGAGTTGTTCATTACAGTCTTGATTCAGATTATGTGGTGGCAAACGTGAACTCGGGCCCAACTTTTTCCCTTCTCACTGGGCACACTGCCCCCCGAGTGGCCCTTGGGTCAGAGGCCTGCCTCTGTGGATTGCTTAAGAGCAGGGTTGCGTGGCCCCAACGCCAGCCCTGTTCTTTGTGTTGGATGTCTGGCCGGTGCCAAGTCAAGTCAGTTGAGCTAAACACCAAAGTGGTACATGAGGGTTCAGTGTCCCAGGCTGCTCCTGGAGGAAGTCAGACCCCTGCCCCTCAGACCTTCTGAGGAGAGGACTACATCCCCATCGAATGGCGCTGCTTCCTCTCCCACAGTGCCCGAGTTGCAGGGATACACATCGTTCTCAGGGATAAACTGCACTCTTGGGAATTGACAGCATTCCCAGGCCCTGTTTCTTGAAAACGAGTGACTGCATTGGAGCCAGGCAGGTGTGGCTAAGCTCTGCCCTTGAGTAACACCTTTCTTCCTCCTCTTCCCTCCCCATCAGTTTTGTACCCAAACCTGGCAGAATTGGAAAATTATATGGGTCTTTCCCTCTGCAGCCAAGAAGTCCAACAGAACCTGCCTCAGATTCCAGACGGTGCCAGTGTAGGTATCTGTCTCTTGCCTGTTGTGGGCACAGATCTTCCAACCCTCCCTCCTTCTTGGTCTTGCCATTGGAACATCCCTGCGGCTCTGTTTCTTGATGGCGCTTTTCATTCTGAGCCTTCATTATAAGTGCTGTGCGATTTCATGGTGTCCTGCTGGCCGTGGGCTTGGAGGGCCACTGCCTGGCCTTTGACCCCTGGCTTCAGGCAGCTGAACAAGAAGGGAGGACATTAAACCCAGCCTGTGCCTGGGAGCTTCTCATGGAGGGCTGCCTCTGACTTGAGAGCAGCTTCGCGGATGGGCAGAGGTGATGTGGGAGGGGCTTGTCACCCAGCTCTTGTCCCCAAATCAAATACTGTCGCTTGGTTCCTGATCTCCGTGGCTCAAGGAGCAAAGGAAATCCTGACACAGAAACATTCACTCTTGAAATGTGTTCACTTATAGACTCGGCCCCCCTCAGGCCCCTCCCAGTTAGCTCCAGCACCCCAGCGGCCGTGTGTCAGTGTCCTTGTCTGCCAGTCTCACCCTGAGCCCCTGAAAATTGATGGCAGAGTGCCCCTGGGACTCTTGCTGAGCATGGAGGATTTCACGAAGGTGGTGGAAGTGGTCATGAGAAATGCCACAGCCACACACAAAGCCTCTGGCAAATCAGGATCTCACAGGAGAAAATCTTCAAGGAGGAGGACATGTGGGACCCTGAGAAAAACTAGTGACACCCTGGGGTGTTTCTCTAAAATGACCCCCTTGATAGCCATGCTGTGAAGTACAAACATAAAGCAAAGGTCACATTTATATAGTTCAATTTTAATCCGTTGATTTAATCCCTCTTTATTCCAATAATTAGGACATAAATGCATTTAACCGAATTTTTGATAAAAATATGATAGCTGAATGCATTTTTTATTTATTTATTTATTTATTTATTTTTCTTTATTGATTAGAGATGGGGAGAGAGAGAGATAGAAACATCGATGAGAAAGAACATCAATTGGCTGCCTCCTGCATGCCCCCCACTGGAGATCAGGCCCACAAACCTGGGCATGTGCCCTGACCGGGAATCGAACTGGCGACCTCTTGGTACATGGGTCGATGCTCAACCACTGAGCCACACCAGCCAGGCTGCATTTTATATTTAAAGGGTTTGTTTTTATTTATTTTTAACTTTTTATTTTTAAATAATTATAGAGTCACAGGAAGTTGCAAAGGACAAAGAAGGGCACTGAAGATTGTGTCCTTCACCCAGTTTTCCCAATGGCTACATTTTACATAATGATAGTATAATGTCAACACAGGCATTTTCCTTGGTACAGTATTTATCTAGAGTTCTACATCATTTTATCACCTGCACAGATTCATGTAACCTCCAACACAATCAGGATATTTCATTGCCACAGAGGTCTTCCATGGGCTGTCCCTTCATAATCATGCCCACCCTCCCCCCTCACTATTCCTAACCCCAGGCAACTGCTCCTCTGTTTTCTGTCCCTATAACATTGTCATTTCAGAATGTCGTATAAGTGGAATCCTATGAGTGACATTTTCAGATTGGCTTTTTCACTCATCATAATGCCCTGGAGATCCTTCCAGGTTGTCATGTATATCAGTAGTTCACCCTTTTTTATTGCTGAGCAGTATTTCTTGGTATGGATATACCACAGTTTGTTTAACCTGTTGAAGGACATTTTAGTTGTTTCCAGTTTCTGGCTATTACAAATTAAGCTATTATGATGTTTGTATATAGTTTTGTTTTGTATGAACATAAGTTTTAATCTCTCTGGGGTAAATGCCCAAGAGTGCAGTTGATAGGTTGTATGATAAATGAATGTTTAAATTTTTTTTAATCCTCACCCAAGGATATTTTCTCATTGATTTTTTTTTTTTCCCAGATAGAGTGGGAAGGAAGGAGGAAGGGAGAAAGAGAGAGAGAAACATTGATGTGAGAGAGAGACATTGATTGGTTACCTCCCACACAACCCCAACCTGGGCTAGGGATTGAACTGCAGCCGAGGCACGTGCCCTTGACTGGAATCCAACCTGCGACTCTTTGGTCTGTGGGCCGATGCTCTAACCACTGAGCAACCGGCCAGGGTGAATGTTTACATTTTTAAAGGAACAACTAAACTATTTCTATAGTAGCTCGACCATTTTATTTTCATCAGCAACACAAGAGAGCTCTGGGTTTCTTCACATCCTCGCCAGCATTTGGTTTTACCACTGTTTTTAATTTTAGCCATTATTTTTTTTCCTCCAATTTTAATTAATTTATTTTTGTTACAGATGTTTCTCCTTTTTCTCCCTTAGATCCCCTCCCCCTCCTCATCCTGCTAATTTTAGCTATTATGATGGGTTTGTAGTGATGTCTCATCAAGGTCTTAATTTGCATTTCCCTAATGGCTAGTGATGTTGAACATCTTTTCATGATCTTATTTACTATCTTTATATTCTTTTCAGTAAAATTTTTCTTCATATTTTTTGCTCAATTTCTACATGGATTGTTTGCTTTTTAAAGTCAAGTTCTGAGAGTTCTTTATTCTAGATATGTGCCTTGTAAATATTTCCTTCTAGCTTGTAGCTTCTCTTTTCATCATATTAAAAGGGTCTCTTGCAGAGCAAAAGTTTTCCATTTTGATGGGGTTCAATTTATTGATTTTTTCTTTTGTGGGTCATGCTTTGCTGTCATAAGAAACTTTCACTAAGCCCTAGGTCCTGAAGACTTTTTCCTTCTAAGACCATTATAGTTTTGTGTTTTACATTTAAATTTGTGACTGAATTTGAGTTAATTTTTGTATAAGGTATGAGGTGTAGGTCAAAGTTCATATTTTTCCCCATGGATGTTCAATCACTCCTGCACCATTTGTGGAAAAGACTATTCTTTCTCCACTGAACTACCCTTACATCTCTGAAAACACAACTGGCCCTACTTGTATGAGGGCGATTCTGGATTCTATATTCTGTTCCATATGTGTCCATCCTTCCACCAATACCCAGTGTCTTGATTACTGTTAACTATATAATAAGTCTTGAAATTTGGTTGAATGCATCTTCTCATTTTATTCCTTTTGTCAGAATAATTTTAGCTATTCTAGTTCCTTTGTCTTTTTGTTTAAAGTTCAGATTAACCTTGCCTAAATCTAGAAAACATCTTAGAGTGATCTTGATAGAAATTGCATTAAATCTGTGTTATCAATTGGGGACATTTGACAGTTTACTATGTTCTTCCAATTCATGAATACAGAATATTTCCCCATTTATTTAGATCTTCTTTGATATCTTTTATCAGTGTTTGTAATTTTCAGCATGCAATTCCAATACATGTTTTGTTAGATTTACAACTTAAAAGCTTTTTTTTTGAGTGATTATAAGTGGTACTGAAATTTTAATTTCAGTTTACACAGGTTCATTGGTAGTATATTGAAGTACACTTAATTTTTGTCTGTTGATCTTGTATTCTATGACCTTGCTGAACTCATTTATTAGTTCTAGGAGATTATTCATAGATACCTTGGAATTTTCTAGTAGGCCATAATGTCATCTGCAAATAGGAACTATTTTACTTCTTTTCTGAGCTGTATGTCATTTATTTCCTTTTCTTGCCTTGTTGCTGGGGCTAGTTCTTTCAGTACTATATTTAATAGTAGGGGTGAGCTTGGACATGTTGACTTGTTCTGGATCTTAAGGGGAAAACATTCATTTTTATACTTCTAGCTTAATTTTTTTGAGACAAAAATCAAATCAAGCCCACCTTTCCCATTGTTCACTATTGCTGTGAAATATTACTTTTATTTTTAAGTAAATTTTAAAGGGGTCTTTTCTTGATATCAATTAGCCTTGGGAAATGAGGGCCTCTTTTCTCTATAGCCCTCCTCTTTGCCCATTTTCCTGGCCATTTTTCAAGGCCATGGACTTTAATGCCCCCTAATGGCTTCATGGAATCATGTCGCCTCTGGGCTCCAGTCGAGAAGTGTGTGATCTGCCAGGGGGAGGGGCCCTAGAGCCCATGTCATCCTCCTTTCCCCATCCTTTCAAAGCCCTAGGGGCCAGCTGACCCTCTCCTCCCCTGGTATCTGCAGACTGTGGTCTCGGGCCCCTTGCCCGGCCAGGTGGTGGCGCCGGTGTCTGGGAACAGCCTGGGTATGCTGCGTGCGGAGATCAAGCCGGGGGTGCGTGAGATCCACCTATGCAAGGACGAGCGTGGCAAGACAGGGCTGCGGCTTCGGGCTATCAACAAGGTGGGGCCCGGGCTGGGGCTGTGGGAGGGCGGAGCTCGTCCCCATAAGCAGCCAGAGCCACGAGATCTCCTGATCTCTCGATCCAGTCGCAGAGCTCCTGTCATCTTCGGGGCTTTGACTGCACAGCCCAGCCAAGAGAGGGCAGTACGGGTGGGGGTGGGTCATCTACAGTGAAGAAGGTGCAGAGTGTGCTGGGAGCAAGGCCCACCTAACCCCCAAGCCCAGGCCCTTCCTCTCCACCCCCTCCCCAGATGCCCAAGGCCTGGCACTGGATTACAGCAGGAACCCGCCGGCTGCCTCTCAGGGGCTCCTGTCGCTCAGAGCCTCCCTTCCCCATGCCCCCCAGTTCACAGGGATCTGTAGGACCTTGATGCCATTGTAAGGGGTGGTGCAGTCCAGTTGGGGGTGCAGCCTCCAGCCAGGGTTGAAATTCTCCCTCAGCTGCTCTCTAGCTGTGTGGCCTAGAGGTTTCCTTCCCAGGAAAATGGGGTAACCAGTGCACCTGCTGGCGGAGCTGCAGTCTCAGTACCTGTAGGCCCCCAGAGGAGCAGGAGGAAAACAACAGCTCGGAGGAGAGACCTGGGCTCCAGGTGAGAGCTGACGGGCCCTGCCTTTCCCAGGGGCTCTTCGTGCAGTTGGTTCAGGTCAACACCCCTGCATCCCTTGTGGGGCTGCGCTTTGGGGACCAGATCCTGCAGATTGATGGGCGTGACTGTGCCGGGTGGAGCACAGACAAAGCCCACCGGGCAGTGAAGAAGGCATCAGCTGAGAAGATCGTCATGATTGTTCGGGACAGGTGAGTAGCCAGGTGCAGGAGCCTCTCTGTTCGCCTCCAGCCACGTCCCAGGCCCAGCTCACTGTCCCTTCCCTGCAGGCCGTTCCAGCGGACTGTCACCATGCACAAGGACAGCACCAGCCACATTGGCTTCATCATCAAGAAAGGGAAGGTGGTCTCTGTCGTCAAAGGGAGTTCTGCGGCCCGCAATGGGCTCCTCACCAACCACTACGTCTGTGAAGTGAATGGGCAGAATGTCATCGGGCTGAAGGTAAGCCAGCGGCCCGGCTCTGTCCCAGGTCTTCAGGAGCAGGGAGACTGCTGGGTGGCGGGAGGGTCCATGTCTGTGGGCAGGCTGCTGCCTGCATATGAGCTTCAGCTTCTTCATCCTAAAATTGCTGCGAGGAGCCAATGACAACAAGGACATAGAACTTTGGGCACATAGTAAGTGCTCAATAAATGTTAGCTATTGATACTAACACGTGGAGGTCAAAGGTGTGACAGAGAGAGGGTATGATGACATGTGAAAGGCCACAGGTGCCCAGGTAGCTATTGGCTGCCTGAATACCTCCCTCTTCTGTGTGGTGCTTCTGTTTGCATCCTGGATTATATAATAGGAATATTCTAGAAAATTGCTTTTCAGAAATCCATTTCTGACCTCTATTTATTCTTTTAGGGTGTGTGTGACGTCTTTTATCTTTAAAAAGTAAGGAGGAGCAGGTGGTCTAGAGCCAGTGCTGTGGACATGGACTGAAGGGGGTTGCCTTCAGGGGATGGGCCACGGAGGATGACGAGTCATGTGGCTCTTGGTCCCTGAACAAGTGAAAGTAATTTTATCCTGACTTTCTGTCCCCTGGACTAAACGTGGTTCTCATCCCAGATGTAATTTAGATGAGGGTCCCTTCCTCTCCTGCAGCCAGGGCTTTAGGCTCCGGTGGCAGGGTTCCCCCGGCAGATGGGGCCTGGGCGGTGGCATCCATTCCACAGCTGGCGCAGCCTTTTAGGCCAGTTCTCCACCCCTCACAAGGGCTATCCCCAAGCCATTCCTGTCACATGTCTGCCTTTCTGTGCCTGACAGTCTCCCCCACCCTCCCTGGAGGCTGGTTCTGGTAATTCATTGTGATCAGGAAGTTCTTCATAATGTCTGTCCAAGATCCCTCCTGCTGCATCTCTCCCCGCGGGGATCACAATCCAAAGGGACGACAATCCAAAGGGAACCCACTGCACCTAGAAAGCTGAGTACATCAGTACCAATTCTGAGTAGCTGGCTCTTTGAAGTATTAGTGAATTCATCGTTTGAAAGTATCCCGGCTCATCGACCCTACCTGCTGAGAGGCTGTCGTTCTACAGGTGCTGCTGACCCCTCCTTTCTGATGGCTCAAGGCTTCTCTACGGACTTAGCTGTTATCCTGCCGAACTGCAATGTGTGAGGCTCTTAGGACTGGGCTTGTCCCTTTTCTGGATGGCCCCAGAGAGCTATACTTCTTGAGATGATCTTTGCAGAGTGTGTCTACTTCCACTCTGTGGCCTTCACCAGTCCTATCCAGCACGTCTTCTCCCAGTTACCCCGGCACAGCTAAGAAAACACAAACCAAGTCAGAGACACAAGTCAAGTTTCCTAGTCTCGAGGAAGGGCCAGCGGCTCTTCTGTTACCATCGCTTTAGCCTGCGGACTGTGGCACAATTTGCAGAGAAACTTTTGTTTCTTGTGCTCCCCAGGATGTCAATGGCTCCTGCAGGCCTTTCTCTTTACTGAGAGGATGTAAGAGGAAGCGGTCCCCTGTGGGCTGAGCTCCGGCTGGCTGGCCAGTGGCCGCGGGTGGTGGCGCACCTGTCTCCCACTGCATGGCTACTCTCTCCCTGCTTTGGGGCCAGAGCCCGAGTGTGACTGGGCCAGGGAGAGGGGGTAGAAGCTGTGTCTTGCTGAGATTCCGGGGCCTCTGTGGGGGAGGGAAGGAGGGTAGTAAGTTTGTAAGGCCCTGTTGTATCAGGCCCGTGTGACTGGCCTTCGAGGTGAGGGTGGGGAGGGGCACGCTCCTCTTCCAAGGGGATCCTCATGGAAGGCCCACATTCTCGCTCAAGCAAGGCTTCCTCTGGTCTGCCTGGGACTCACCTGAGGGGCAGCCCCACCGCTGAAGTCAGGTGTCAGTGGTGTCCTCCAGCAGGGGCCACATTGACCCCTCCACAGAATTGCCTGCAGAGTTGCACCTGGCCCCCTGGGTGACCTCTCACCTGCCTCCTCTCTAGGACAAAAAGGTCACAGAGATTCTGGCTATGGCCGGGGACGTCGTCACCCTGACCATCATCCCCACCGTGATCTACGAGCACATGGTCAAAAAGTAAGGCTGCCTCCCCCACCTCCCCACTCCTCCACGGCCCCGGCTTCCTCCAGGCTCCCGCAGTGCGCAGCCCCCTGCCCCCCCCCCCCCTTCACGGTGGCCGGTGGCTCCTGGGGATGTGAAAGTCTCAGAAATGAAAGTGAAGGCCCACGTGGGGTGCTCAGGCTGGGTGGTGGGGGTGAGGGGGAGGCACTGCCGGTTGGGGCCACTGTCATTGTTGCTGTATCTAGGTTGTCCCCGACCCTGCTCCACCACACCATGGACCACTCCATCCCAGATGTCTGAGGTCAGGGAGGCAGCTCGGCCCTCCCACCCTCCTGCAGGAGAGGAGAGTCTTCACGGATGACAAGTTTCAAAGGCCTGCTGCCAGGGACTGGGGATGTCTTGATGGGGGGTGTGCTTGAGGGGGGCTGATAGCAGATCACATCGTCCGTCTTTACAACACAGGCCTCTTGGAGCCTGACTCTCGACTGGACCAGGGCAGGGCCAGGGCCCAAAGACAGCGGTTCCCTACGCCGATGTAAATGCAGCCAGGTCCCTTCCAAGGTTTTGCCTCTACCGGAAACACAGTTCCACATATTGAGAGGACAGAAATACATTCTTTGTGAGAATTCTTTCCCCTTTACTTGCTCTTTGTCCCAAACTGTACAGAGCTATAAGTCCTCACTGTCTTTTGAATAAAGCTTTGATTTTAAATAAAACTCCTTCCTCAGAAGTAATTGAAAGTTCCAGATTTCAGTCCCAGGACACGCCAGGGCTGGTTTCCTTCGTGACAGTGAGACCAAGGCCTTTCCTGCCCACTGCCTCCGAGAGCAGTGGTCTGGCTCTGCCACCTCGCGTGCTGCCTGCCAGGCGGGACTCGGGGAGGGGCACTGGCCTCCGAGGGCCTCTGCCTGGGCTGCCCGGGCGTGAGAGCTACCCAGGGTGCTGGAGAGGAGCCCTGCCATGCTGGGGGCTGACACTCGCCTCCCGCGGCGTGGGAGGGGCGGGAGGCGCAGGAGGGGCCCGGGCCGCTGCTCAGCAGCCCCAGGGCTGCACCAGCGTACAGCTGTCTCACTCTCTCTCTTTTTTTTTTTTATCCTCACCCAAGGATATTTTTCCATTTTTTGTACAGATAGAGTGGGAGGGAGAGAGAGGAACAGAGAGAGAGAGAGAGAGAGAAAAACATTGATGTGAAGGGACACATCGAGTGGCTGCCACCCGCATGACCAACCAGGGCCGGGGACAAATTGCAACCGAAGTACGTGCCCTTAGCGGGAACCGAACCCGGGTCTCTCCGGACCGCAGGCCGACGCTCTAACCGCTGAGCCAAATTGGCCAGGGCTGTCTCACTCTCTTGACCTGAGAAAGCTCAGCCACCCAGCTTCTTCCAGGGTACATGCTCTGCCTCCCACGCAGGTAGGGATGGCTCGAGCCCCTCATTGCCCCACCTCCTCAGAAAAAAAGACAATATAAAGAAAAGAGGCCGAGGGTCTTGTGTGTTTTCATGCTTTAATTTAGAGTTGTTTGCTGCAGGTACAACTCTGTCTGAACAAAAGGACAAAGGAGACAAAAGTGAATGTCCCATCCCACCTCCCCCCTTCCCGGATCCCCTGGATTCTGTCAAGGGGATGGCCGGATATAAGAGTGCACTGTGACTCGGTTGCCCTGTGCCCCTAGGTCAGAGAGGGGATCGTGAGGTCACTGGGCAAAAGCCCCTCAGTAGACCTTTGGCCCCAGAACCTTGTCATCTGCCCACCCCTCCCCAAGGCGCTGTCAGACGCCTGTGCACATGGGGACTGGGAAGGGTGTCCAGTGAAAAGCTAAGTCATCCCCTTGGGAGATGTCCAGTGAACTCCACTTGAGGCTCGGTCTGTGTGCAGAGTCCTGGCCCGGCTGATGCCTGGACTCAGAGAGGCCACGGGGCCGCTCTGGCCTGGACCCTCCAACTAAGAAGCCGACTGGCCGCTGGGCTCCAAGGACCACTGTTCCAGAAAGTGGCTCCTGGAAACACTGTCCCTTAGGGTCTAATCAGCCCTGGCAGAGGCTGGGGAAAGGGGAGGCCCCAAAGGTTTCTGCTCCAGAAGCCGAGGGCAGGAGGGAGAGGTTACAGCCCCACCGGAGGAGGTGTTACGCAGGCATTTGGAGAATGAGCACTCAACAGCCCCGGCCTGGCCTTGCCCCCCGCCCCGCACTCTGCCCTGCACAGTCGGGGGCAGGCCGCTGCTCCTCCACCGCCTGCAGCCGCACAGATAGCGCAGCACCTTTTGCATAGACGCGAACACTGAGCACATACACGCACACACGCAGGAGCCCTGCAGGCCACTGAGCAAGACGGTCCCAGGGCCTGTCCCCGGCTGGCTGGTAAGCCATCGCCCCTGCTAACGTGAAGAAAAGCCCGCGAAGTCCCTCCCCAGAGAGGACCCTCAGTGCTGCAAGCAAGGGCCAGGTCTCAGGGCAGAGCAGGCACAGAGGGTAGCAGCTGGACCCACTGACTTCATCTAGAGGCCCTGGGTCCGAGCCCCAGCCAGCCCTTCACCAGAGCTTTCTCCAGTAGAAACAGGATGGACGGTGGCCCCAGCCCTGACCACGTCCACCAAAACACAAGACACAATAGGAAGGCCACAGACAGCGAGATGCGGACAGGAGCAGAGGGGCTGCACAGCTCCACTAAGTCCCGGCGGTGAGAAATAGATTTCATGTTGTCAGAGTCATTTATTAATTTTCTCAGCGAAGCTTTGACTATTCCTAAGGAGACACTGCAGCTCCGCGAATACGTGGCGCGGGAGGCTGGGCCCGTGGTCAGTCCCGGCTCAGCTTTGGATGGGTGTGTCCACTGCCCCTCCTGCCACGACCCGTCCTTGGGGCCGCCCGGCCAGGCCCCAGAGCTCAGGTTTGGTTCGGCTGGGGTGGGGGTGCTCCACAAAGGATGGCTGGTCTGAGACCCCGGCCGAGGCGGGGAGCTTTGGAGGCACGAAGCGCGTGGCAGAGGGGCTGCTGCCCCGATGGCTGGGCGGCGCCCACTCCAGTGCATGCAGGTGCCACCCCTCTAGTGGAGGGCACAGAAAGGGAGGGCAGAGCCCATGAGTCAGGCAACAACTGCTGGAGCAGCAGGGTGGGCAAGCAACCTTGGCAGAGAACCAGAGTGGCCCCTAGGCCACAGAGGTGAGTAGGACACAGAGTCCCATCGACCCTCCCAAATGTGGGCCTGACTCTGAAGAGTGGGTAGGACGACCAGATGGGTATAAGCCCCGCAGGGACAAAGGATCAGGTTTACTTCGTCAAATAATAATGGTAATAAAATGTCAGCAGCTTTTCATGGGGGGAGGCCCAGATGAGGTCCCAGGGAAGGGGGGAGGACAGTGAACCTTTCCAGGCCTACTGGCCTCGGGGTTGGGGGCAGGGAGGCCACAGGGCTCCCACTGGCCCCACCCCACCCCAACCCAGGAAACATCCCAGGGCACCTGCTTTGGCCTGGACATCATGGCTTCAGTGTCCCACCTTAGAGCCTTTGTCCTGCTGTAATTCCCCCTGAGGCAGATAAGTCTAAGATTCAGGAACCCTCACCCTAGAAAGGAAGCAGCCCCCTTGCAGGAGATCCGAGGATGCGTGAGAACCAAGCCCCGAAGTGAACACTGTGCAAAGCAGAAGCTGGGCCTGAGGCCCCAGAGAAAGTCGGGGTGAGCCCCTGGGGCCATCGTGGCCTCTGGCTTCTCACACCAGCTGGGGACCGCCGAGGCCAGCTGGCCTCCCAGACCACAGGGCCTCGTCTCCGCAGGCGCAGGAGCCCCTGGGCTGCCCGCCCGCTTCCTCTCCCGCCCGGCGCGGAGCCTGTCGGCTGAGCTCACAGGAAGAATTACCCAACATGCCCAAAAGCGCAGGAGGAAAGTGGACCATAGGGAAGGTCCGGGACCGACAGACAGATGCACAACCTCCACTGCCCTCTGCCACCTCCTGCCCATCACTGTTTCCCCCAGAGCTGGGAACAGTCTGAGCGGACTGGAGCTCCAGCCCAGGCCGGCCGTCCCCAACCCTGCTTGGAGTCCTGGTCGGGTGTCAGTACTTTGGGTCACAGCTGCCTCCATCTGAGGAGATAATACTGGTCCAGAAGCCAGGCTGAGGGCAAGGGGCGGCACAGAGTGGCCAGGGGCTGAGCAGGATGTGGAGGGTGGGGCACGGGGAGACTAACGTGGGCCACTGAGGCCCAGCCTCTTGAGATCAATACACCAGAGACTTCCTGAGCAGGGGCTGCCCCTGTGAAGGGCCGGGCGATGGGGGCTGGGCTGGGACTTCTCCACGTCCCTCTCTGCACTTGGCCCAACAGCATGCCTCCCTGCCCTTGGTCTCTCTTCCCTTCTCTCCTGACCAAGCTGGGGGATGACCTCCACCTCTGACTCCCAGCCCCCCACACCGTTAACTTCCTGAAGAAACCACCTCCGAACCCAAAACTAAATAAATAAGATGATGCCCCCTGGGAATGTGTGGGCGGGAGGACGGCACCCTTCTACTCGGTGGTCAGGCCGCCGAGCACGGGCCAGGAGGGCGTCCTCAGAGCTGGGAGCCGGCCGTGCTGGGGCCGGGCTGGCTCAGCGAGCGGCAGCTGACCCTGCGGATGGAGTGCAAGGCCACAGTGCAGCAGCCCCGCAGCAGGGAGCTGATGTTGTAAATGGGCTGCCCCTGGCGCCGCTGGGAGCGGCAGAGCCAGGCCACCGTGGGCACCGCCGGCACCACCACGGCCAGCAGATCCACAATGTAGTGGCGGCTCCAGTAGCTCCTGGGCTCCTTCTCAGCTGAGGCTGCCTCCTCTTCCTCTTCCGTGGGGCACACCACGTTCACCGACAGGCCGGGGTTGGGGTTGGCACCAGGCCGGTGTGGGGTGGGCCCACGGGTGATGGGCTCTGGGGCCTCAAGCTCATCGCCCACCGTCACCACCACTGCTGAGTTGAGGTCTCTGGGCCCTGGGGGGTGGGGATCCGGCTCCAGGAACCTGTCCCCTGACTCGGGACCTGTCCCACAGACCTGGGCCTGGGTCACCTTCTCCAGGATGGTGTCTAGGTCAGGCTGGTACTGCGCGAAGTCTGTCTGGATGGCACGCTCCTGCACGCAGCTGGCCTGCACGCCGGCCTCCATGCCGCACAGCAGCTTCTCGTAGGGGTTGCTGGCAGAGAAGCGGGGACCCAGGCTGAAGGAGCTGTGCAGCGAGGCCTCCTCGGGGCCGCAGTCCACCCCCGATGACAGCAGGCTGCTGGCCTCCAGCGCATCCGTCCGGCTCATCGTGTCATCGTTTGCCACGAAGCCACTGTCAGCCCCGTCCCCAGGGGGCTGGTCCCCGCAGACCGCCGGGTCACTCAGCTTGGTGTAGGTGGAGCTGCGGGTGAGGGAGCGTGCGGGAGAGCCACCCGCCGACTCGCCGGCGCCGTCCTCCTTGGCCATGCCGTTCTGGGCCACCTCCATGCTGTGCAGCAGTGTCTCTAGCTTCTTGTTCTGGATGTTGATGTCCATGAAGTACTTCTGCAGCCCCTTGTCCTTGTCAATCAGGTTGTTCTTGACAGTGTCGATGACCTGCTTGAGCTGCTTGATCTCCTTGCGGGCCTCCTTCAAGGCCAGCTGGGCTTCCACGCGGTGGCACTCCTCCTCGATCCAGTCCTCCTGCATGCGTGACAGCTGCGTCTTCAGGTCGTCGATCTCTGTGTCCCTGTGAGCAGACCAGACACACGCTCACTGCCGGGCCTGGCACCGCCACCAGGGGGGGCCCCCAAGGAGGGGTGTCACCACGGACAGAGGGCCAGTGCTGCTGCCTCATAGAGCTAGAAGCAGAAGGAATGGCTTAATACCCCTCCTCCTTCTCTTTACTCCTGGGGGGTGGCGGGGGTGGGGTGAGTAGGGGAGGGAGGGGGTCAAGTGGTAAAGCCCTGAGAGGCCTCCCCCTGGCTGGGGGAAGAAGAAATGTGGCTGAAAGCCAGCATGCCCCCTCCCCCAGGCAGACATCAGATGACTGTGCACTTTAAATCCATTACCTACAGAAGAGACTAGGTAACAGAGTCTCAATTTAAAAATGCTACTGCTATAAAATCCCAATGCATCCTTAAACATAAAGGGATGTGGCCTCCTGTTAACGTCGGCTGGGGAAATGTGAAATGAAGGGCCTTTTGGCCAGAGACCCCGGAGAGGGCGGTGGGCCGCTCTCTGTTTCTGAGAGAAATGACCATCTTCAATTTGGGCCGAGGGGAGCCCACACATCTTCCCTCAAGTGGAGAGAGAAGTAGAGGGATCAGAGGGTGATGGAAACAGGGTGGCGCCTTTTATCCGGGCAGGCTTGGCGAGCAGGGCACACGCCGCTCCCGAGAGAGGCAGCGCCAGGCACAGCAGCACCGGCAGCCAGCGGACCTGTCCAGAAACTCAGGCTGTTTAAATCCCCGAGTTGACCATGACTTGGGGCGCAGGGCAGGGGGAGACGAGCGGGACCGAGAAGCCATCATCCAGAGGTAACACCAGGAGGGACCCACAGCAGTGAGAAAGGAGGGAGCCGGGCCGGCCTGGGTGTCCTGCCTCAGCACACCTCTCAGTGACAGCCGCCAGGCCCCAGCCCGCGTCCGGGAAAACAAAGCCCCAAATGGCACAACGTCCGCTGGGGGCTTAGGAGCCCATGAGAGTGACAGTCCCAGATCAAACACCGTTTCCTTCCTTCCTTCCTTCCTTCCTTCCTTCCTTCCTTCCTTCCTTCCTTCCTCCCTCCCTCCCTCCCTCCCTCCCTCCCTCCCTTCCTTCCTACAATATGTTTTTATTGATTTTAGAGAGAGAGGAAGGTAAAGGAGAGAGAGAAAAATCAATTGGCTGCCTCCTGCACGCCCCCTACTGGGCATTGGGCCTGCAACTCAGATAAGAGCCCTGACTGGACATCAAACTGGTGACCTTTTGGTGCACGGGGTGACACTCATCCAACTGGCCACACCAACCAGGGTGCACCATGTAGTTTCAAAGTGAGACCAGAAATTCAGCTCAGGAAATGGGCCCAGGAATCTCAGGCCACAATATAATGAACGGCCTCGGGCTGAGGGGCTGCAGGTGGCCACGAAGATCATCTGGAAAGGGAACGACTCACAGGACACAGCTCAGCGGTAACAGCGGAAACCAGAGCTGCTCAGAGTGGCAACAACAGCCAGGCCCACAGGTATGGGGGTACTTGCCCTTCACGCCTCCCATCTCAGGGTGGGGGGCTCACTCCAGGGTGACCCTCCTCACTGACCCGGAGCCCAGGGAGGAGTGAGTTTGGACGAGGGACCTGGGCACGCTCAGCTCTCCAGGCCCCGGCCCCCTCCCCGGAGCCAGCAGGACCCCTGGGAGCCATGGCCTCCAGCCTTGCCTAGGACATTGGTTTCGAACTGGGTCCCGAAGGGTACGTTTGCCCAGGAAAGGCCGTCGCAGGAAGTGGGACGCGGCCTCCGAACGCAGAGTGTGGGTTTGAGAAGGGGCTACGGCTGGAGTGGCAGGTATCGCACTGAACGTGTGGAGTGTGATCGTGAAGCAGGCGAGGAACGGCCACGGGTGTCTGCAGGGGTGGCCGGGGTGGCCGGGGTGGGGTGTGGGCCACCCAGACGGGGCGTGCTGCCCGGACCACACGGAGCTGAGGCCTGCTCTGAGCTGCAAGGCCAGCCGAGCGAGGAAGCTTCCAGAGGACATTGGTGCAGACAGCCAAGCAGGCCGAGGGCATCGCTGAGAAAATGAGGGGAAAGGAAAATAGAACCCCCAGCTCTCCAGACAAGGAGGCCCCCAGAGCGCCACCGGCAACTCCCACCGTTCAAACACACAGCACAGCTAGACTGGATCGGCCGCGCTCTGGCCAGGGAAGATGGGGCTGTGCGCACTGTACGCTTCGATTTGTCCGAGATAGACAATCTGTAGACAAAGACTTGTGGTCGCCAGGGACTGGGGTGACTGCAGAGAAACGGGGCATGGTTGCTACTGGGAGTGGGGTTTCTTTTGGGGTGATGACATGTTCTGGAATTAGATACTGGTGATGGTTGCAGAGTTCTGTGAATATAGCAAAAATAATCAAATTGTGAGGTATGTGAATTACATCTCCATACCGTTGTGACATGTATGTAAAAGGAAGGATGAAGGAAGACACGGCCACAGGGGCCGGCCCTGACCGCCAGCGCCCCACAGAGCGACTCGTCCAGCTCCTGGTCAGCTGCGTATCAGAACTGACACCGTCTGGAGAAGATGGTGCAGACAACAGAGAGGTCAGAGGGCAGCCCTAAGGCTCCCATCATAAAGATGAAGCCGCCAACCTGGAAAGGTGGAGGCTGGGAGGCTGAGCACTGGCCCACAGGTCTGGAGAATACACTCAGATGGACCCGAGGAGGGTCCCGGGAGACCCCTGGGCTGGGTAGGAGCTCAGTAAAAGATTTCTCCTGATTGAACGTCGTCTATAAACAGATGAGGAAGCCTCCTGGGCCTGACTGGTGGTCAAACAGGGCCAATGGGCTGTTTCTCCCTCACTGAGAAGGAGAGCCCGGAGGAAGCCCTGCACTCCCAACTCCCCAGGGAAAGGAGCCAGGGAGACTGGCCCAAAGGGGCTGCCAGGCCGAGCCTGGGAGAGCCTCCCCTGGGTGGGAAACCCACCAAGCCCTCCTGGGGAAACTGCTCCTGGCCAAGCCCCACGCAGCTGCCTGCAGCAGGCTCTCGGGATGGGCGCCAACGGGCTCGGCCAGGCCCCTGGTTCCTCGGAGTGCGGAGTGTGCCCCAGCCACCTGCTCACCGGTCCTGGAGCCGGTCCTGCGTGTCCTTCAGCCTGGCCTTCAGGTGCCGGATGCACACCTCCTTCTGTTGCAGCGGTGTCAGGTACTGCTCCGGGGTGGGTGGTTTGATGCCATGGTTGTCGCTGCACAGCGTGTACTTCATGGAGCGCCTGCAAGGGGGCTCTCATCAGCCAGGAGGGACCGGGAGGAGGGCAAGGTGCCGGCCCTGTGCTTCCAGGGAGCAAGAGGACGCCAGGCCAGGCCTCCCCGACAGGTCCCGAGTCGGCCACTAACACCCCAACCTTTTCTGGAAGGTGGGTTTTACTAAAGCTCTTCTGAGTGAAGACCACAGCGTCAGGATGGGGGGCCCCGGGCTCCTCTAGTTGGGGGTGGGGAGATATACTACAGAACATACGCATAGCTTGGCACCGTGCTGGGCGCTGGACTGACACCATCTCCATCAGTCAGTCCCAGAGAGAGCTCAGGTGTCAGTCTTTCAGCCTGGAGAACAGTCTGGGGCTGGGGGCTGGGGCGGAGACCTCTCCCTCCTCGTAATCTGCACACACACTCACCTGGAGAGCACACCTGGGTACACGAATACCAGCCCATTTGTGCCTGCACACCCACATTTGTGAAGACACACCATGCCCATGCATGCCCACCACCTCTCTGCCCTCACAGGCACTCACATGAGCGAGGACACCAGCTCATGCACCCATTCATACAAATGCATGCACCCCTTTACCCTGGGGCACATGTGAACACGTGTGCATACTGCTGTCTCTGGGCACCAACCTGCTGCTCCCTGGGGTGGGAGCGGCCTAGATGTACACTGCTCGAGAGGTGACACGCTCCTCAGCACGAGGCGACAGTGTGTACGGTGAGCACACCCTGGCCCCACCAATACAGAGGAGCAGGGAGAGCTAGGCTCTCACCCAGGGAAGGAGGGCACCCAATTCCATCAACAGACCATGGCCCGACCTCCCTGACTCCGTTTCCCGCCTGCTGGTTATTCTGTTCACAAAGAAACCCCCTTGGATCTTGGCTTAAAAACCTGGGCATGTTTTCATACAACTGGCAGGAGACCTGCTGGCACCCAGCTCTGCTCCTTTAGGGGATGGGGACTCCCAGGTCTAGGGAGGGGCAATGGCAGGCCCCGGGGGGCCATTTGCTGTAGCAACTTGGAGGCAGCTTTAAAAGTTTTGTAGAAGCTCTGTAATGTTTACCGAGGAAAACTTAACTGTAAACTGTTGAAGAGAACGTGACAGTAGAAGCAGAGAGAAAGAAATGTTTCTCTTCTCTGTACTCAACGAGTGGACCCTACGTTTATGCCAGCCAATCACGTGTGCTCCTGTTTCTGTGCGACAAGGGGCAGAGGAGGGGGTGGGGTGGGAGTTCACAGCATACCCCCTGCTGGGCTCTTGGAAATCTCTTTCCAAAAGAGAAGCAAGCCAGCAAGAGCCATGGACCTCCGGTGGCCCTAAGCCTTGCGCTGGTCCTGTAGATGTGCTGGGACCCTGCAGGGACTTTGGCTAGAGGGGCACAGCTCAGCAGTGAGTAAAAAGAGGTCTTTTCCCCATGCTTGGGGGTGGGGGAACTGAGATTAGTTACGCTAGTAAGTGGCGAGGCTTAGAGAGGAAGCAACTATTTTAACTTTTCCATTTGCTCTCATGAGTGTTTTCCCCCAATATGACATTTAACACTCATACATTTTTAGTCACTAGCTCTATCTTTGTGGGGAAAAAATTATATATATAGGAAGAGAAACATACTACAATTCAAGTCTCTCCGCTATTCACGACTTGGAATGCCTGGCTATCCACAGTGAGGCCCAGCGGCCCTCCCCCGCCCCCGCCAGCAGCTCTGGGTGGGCAAGGGGACCCTTCCATAGAAGCAGGTGTCAGCTCGGGCATGGGACTGCCCCGGGGGCTGCAGCTGTGACATGCATTACAACAACCTGCTGCTGAAAGAAAAAGTGTTAAAGTTGCCAATTGTGTACTGTTTTTTTTTAAAGAGGCAACTGTGTATTTTTTAGTATGTGTGCTGCTGACGTGAGCACCCACTTACACACTTATAAAAATGTAAGTGTACACATCCACCTTACTCACGCCCCTGTGTTCTGGAGTGGGGGTGTGAACAGAATGCTGGGGCATGGGTCCTGCACACATGTCACCCACCGCTCGTGTCACCCAACACACGTGTCACCCACCACTCATGTCACCCACCACTCGTGTCACCATCACGTGTCACCCACCACACGTGTCACCCATCACGTGTCACCCACCGCTCATTGTACCCATCACGTGTCACCCACCGCTCGTGTCACCCACCACTCGTGTCACTCACCACTCGTGTCACCCACCGCTCGTGTCACCCACCACTCGTGTCACTCACCGCTCGTGTCACCCACCGCTCGTGTCACCCATCATGTGTCACCCGCCACACGTGTCACCCGCCGCTCGTGTCACCCGCCGCTCGTGTCACCCACCGCGTGTCACCCACCACTCGTGTCACTCACCGCTCGTGTCACCCACCACACATGTCACCCATCACGTGTCACCCACCACACGTGTCACCCATCATGTGTCACCCGGCACACGTGTCACCCGCCGCTCGTGTCACCCGCCATACGTCACCCATCACGTGTCACCCACCGCATGTGTCACCCACCGCTCGTGTCACCCACCGCTCGTGTCACCCACTGCTCGTGTCACCCACCACTCGTGTCACCCGCCACTCGTGTGGAAAACTCTGAGAACTACTGCCTCAGCACGATCTGGGCATCGCCTCTCACAAATGACACCCTCTCCACTGGAATGGGCAGGGCAGGCCTCCCCAGGGGGCGCTCTGGCCCTGGGGCTGCAGGCCTGTCTTCTGGCCCATGATTCCCAGGTAGGACCGAAGTCCTAATGACACCAGTTACGGGCCACCTGCAGATATCAACCTCATCCTGCTTTTCAAGTCTCTGTTCGCTTTTCCCGAGAGCACAACCGAGCCTCTGTCACACACTCTGCTTTGCGAGCCCACTGCACCCCTGCCACCCTCGTGCCCCTGAGGAAAGCAAGATGGCAGAGCTGCGAGCTGCCCCCCCCGCCGTGCCAGGGAGAACATCGCCATCCTGGTACTGCTGGTCCCGCACCCAGAGCAGTCACACCACCCAGTTCCAGCCAGCCAAGTGCACGCACACTTCCCCGGGCAAGGTGGCCCTTGTCAGAAAACATGAGCCCTGGGGGCCAGTGGGCAGGGGGCTCTAGGCTTTCTACCTCTTTCTCTCCTGGATGTCAACCCGTGCCTGCAGGTGTAGGAGCTGTCCTGTAACAACAAGGTCAAGAGCGGTTCTGCAAGGATGGTGGAGCAGGAAGGCAGGAGACGGGGCCTCGGACGCTCCAGAGAGCTGCCTGCCTTGGCTCCTTGTTCTGAAAGCACCCCTCCTAGTTTGTCTGAGACAGTCTTTGGTTATGTGCAGCTGGATATTATCACACCCATCTTACAGACACAAGAACTGAGGCTCAGGAAGAGGAAGTGACCTGCTTAGGGTCGCACAGCCAGTGAGTGCTGGGGACGGTGAAGACACCCACTTTCCTCCTCCTTGGGGCACGCAGGCTCCCAGCCAGTGGGGCCAGGCCAGGCTGGAGGACGGGGCCAGTTACCTGGGCGTGGGGCTGCCGTCACTGCCCTTGCAGGAGCCCGAGTTGCTGCTGCTGCTGAGAGAAGAGGTGCCATAGGCATCCCGCATGCTCACAGGTGGAGAGGTGCGCCTGGAGGCAGGAAGAAGGGGCAGGTGCTCGTCCTGGCTGGTGGGCAGCTGCGGACACTGGGCGAGCACTGCCAGGCCGCTGTGGCCCAAGGGGCCCCCACTTCGGGGTCACGGCCGGGAGAGAAGCAGAGGGGAAACGGGGATGCACAGACAGGGGTGACAGAACAGACAGTGCACATCAAAATGGAAAACCAGGAGGAGGCCGGGCCTTCTGGCTCCCCAGGGCAAGAATGGAGGCTGGGCAGGGCTGCAGGCCAAGGCAGGGCCCCATGTGCCCTTAAAGGGGCTTCGACTTCCAGGGTCCCCGAGCTCAGAGGGGGAGGGCCCTGCATGGCTGAGCCCCAGGTGGAGAAGAAGGGGGCAGGCAGGAGTAGACAGGAGGAGGCGCACACGGGGGTGGACCAGGGGAGGCCCGGGGAGCCTGAGTGGAGACTGAACGACATCCTCGTCATTGTGAACATCAAACACCAACACTGCTGTTGGCACGAATCCAATGGTTTAAGTCTTCAGAGAACTTTATTTCCACTGTGTCATTTGAGCCCTTAAATAGTTCCAGGAGGAGGCGAGTGTTAGCAAGGCCATTTCAAAGACTGGCGAACTAGGGAAAGGACTTGCTCAAAGACATACTGCGAGCTGGTGGCAGAGTGGGCCCCCCGCCCCCGACTCTGAGGCCGAGGTTCGGGCCAGGGAGGCTTACCTGCGGGATCCGGCAGAGGCCCGTCGACTGCTCGGCAGGGACATGGCCATGAGGCTGCGGGTCCGGGTGAGGGGTGGGATGGGTGGTGTCCCCGGGGCTGAGGAGAGAGGGCGCATAGGGGGGGCCGTGGGGAGGGCCGGGCCGGGCCACGTCATCCTCTCGCCGGAGCCGCTGCCCGGCATGGCTTCTCCTCTCACCCTTCAGCAGGACGCCCGGGCTCTGGCCACAGGTGGCTCCTGCCACCTGACTTAAAATGACTGGCAGAGCCTCAGGGCAGCCAGAAATCATCAGTCCAACCCCGTGTCCTCCAGATGAGTGCCGTGCCCCGCAAGGTCACACGGGCACTGGGGCAGGGCCTCCTGGCCGCCGGCGCAGCACTGAGTCCTCTCCTTTACACACCTGGCCCTGGACCCCTGACACTCGGACCCCCGCCCCGACGCTGGTCAATCCTCCCTCCTCGGTGGGGGCTGGAGGCTGGAGGACTCCTGGAGCAGGACCAGGAACCCCAAATTATGCTGGGCTAGTCTTGACGTCACCTTCCCAGAGTGCCCGCTGGCGTGTGGCTCGGGGTTTCCCGTCTACAGGGGAGACAAGACAGACCAACATACCAGCACACGTGTAGAAAGACATACGAATACATATGGTCATGAAAGACATATGGATACCCTGTCCCCGGCATTCTAAGACGTGCTACACAGGCCTCGGTGAACATGCTCAGGGGAGCTGCACACGATGCAGGGCATGCAGCCAGGCCCTCCTACACACACTGCACACACACATGCAGCCAGGCCCTCCTACACGCACTGCACACACACATGCAGCCGGGCCCTCCCACACGCGCTGCACACACACATGCAGCCGGGCCCTCCCACACGCGCTGCACACACACATGCAGCCAGGCCTTCCCACATGTGCTGCACACACACATGCAGCCGGGCCCTCCCACACGCGCTGCACACACGCACACCCGCACCCATCATGCAAGAGCGCATGCTGATTTGGCATGCACCAGGAACTCAGGGCGCAGGCTCCAAGCAGTTGAGGACAGGGCACATGAAAGCAGAAGCCCTCCTATGGGGGTGTCTGGGGGTGCTGGGCCCAGTAGAGAGTGACTGCCTGCAGAGACCCATCCCTGGCCCCCTCCACAAGTGGGTAGGGAGACGCAGGCCCTCTGGCTCTGGCCTAGGGACACTAGGCCCCTCTCCTGGGAAGGGGCTTGCGCTCCAAGGGCAGCCCTACAGGGTTTACGGAGGAGGCCCATGCTGGGCAGGAACTAGCTGCTGCAGGGTGGTCTGCACTGGCATCAGCCCGGAGCTCCTGGGGTCCCAGGTAGAGGGGCCTGGGCTCTTTGCAGCCAACATGCTAGTCCTTTGCCAGCTCCAGAGACCCCAGTTCCCTTCTTCCATGCTCAGGGTAGGGACTAAGGATAGTAGCCTGGGTGACAGGAGACTCCGCTGAGGACATGTACCCCAGACCTTCCCCCATGCGGGGGCACAAGCTTCACCACGCCCCGCTCCACGTCAGACCCCAGGCCGAGCATTACGTACATCACGTCATCGACTCTTCCCAACAACCCTAAGAGGAAGCGCCGTGATTAGTGCCGTTACAGATGGGGACTTCAAGAAGGAAGGATGCGCCCAAGTCACACCCCCAGTGTGTGGAGGACCAACACCAGATGCTGAGGGGCTGGATTTCCAACCCTGGAGTCCCAGGCCAGGGCACCTCCCCTTCCCACGACAGGGCCTCTGGGGAGCCTGGTCATCCTGGCCAGCGGCGGGGCTGCCTCCTGAACAGACAAAGGTGCTACTCAGGTGGCCTGTTTCCTGGCTGTGACACAGATGCGGCCTGTTCCCCTGGAGGGCCTGGACACAGCCCGTATTGTCTGTGCAGAGGTGTCAGGTGCCGGCGCAGGAGCCTCCGACACTATGCCTGTCACCTGAGCTGCTCGCCCTTGCTTGGTGACGCGTCCTACCCATCACTCCCCAGTCACCCAGGAAGGGCCTCTGGAAACTGTAGGGCCGGCACCTGGAGGAAGAACCGTGGGACAGGGGCTGGGGCAACAACGTTGCACCACACTTGTCAGGAAGGCCACCAACGGCTGACTACGCCTTCTGAGCGCGAGAGTGGACCCCATTCAGCTGGGGGGGGGGGGTGACAGTCCTTCCTCGGGGGTGGGCAAAAGCTTCAAGGACCACCTGTGGTGGACTGAACCCTTGGTGGCCAGGTGACCAGGTGACCATGCCGAGCGCTTTCGTGTGCCCTGACCACGTCTTCAGATACCAATCCTTCAAGGCAAGCGGGGTCCCGACCGCATCTTGGCCAAGGTGGCGTGGCTGGCGGTCTGACAGACCCTGGTTTCTCGCCCCAGCCAGCCTGGCTCCACTGGCATCCTCCCAGTCCTCCCTGGCCCCTGCTTTGGGGAGGGAGCACCGAGGCTGTGCCTTCAGGAGGACGTCTCCGCAGAGGCAGGGCTCGGGGCTGAGGATGAGCCTCTCCCAGCCGGCGGGCTGAGTGCTGCCAAGGAGCTTAGCTAGAAAGGCCAGGTGGATTCTAGGTCCAGGTCCTGGGAGGCAGGCAAGAAGCCCGGTTTGCCTTGGAGCTGTGTGTGGCCTTGGGACAATGAGGGCTTTGTCCCTGCTGTCCCCACCCCTACCTTGCTTGGCAACCCCATGGTCTCCTCCTCTTAAGCTCCCTCTTCCTTCCTCTCCGGCCGGGCCCAGGGGTGGGAAGGGGACTGTGTTTGTACCTGGATGGAGCCAAAGTCTCCTGGGAGGCCAGAGCCAGCCATTCATCCAGGACGGAGGTGGAAGTGGCATTTCCCCTGCTGGGACAGGACCTTCCAGGCAGGGGTCCCTTGTGGGAGGGCAGAAGTCACCCAGGCCCCAAGGGAGCCACTGCTCCGGGATCCTGCTCAGCAGTCTCAGTCTGGGGCCTGTGCCCTCTCCATTCCTCCCTCCCCTCCAGGCCCCAGGGAGGAGGCAGGTTGCCATGGCATTTGTCACCATGCTGCCTGCTTGCCCAGAGTCCCACAGGCCTGTCTCCAGCTGGCCAGAGGTTGCCACTTGGAATACAGGGTGGAAAAGAAACCCTTAGCCATGGGGAGCTGGGCTCATAGTCTCTTGTCACCTCAACCCCAGAGCAAACCCCAGCCCCTGTCACTGCAGTCCCCCTCCAGCTCCCCACTCTGCCACACCATGGCAAGCTCGCTGTACCCATCCCTCTGGTCAGCCCCTCACATACCCAGCATCTCCTGAGGACCCAGGGGATACAGCAGGATCTAGGGGACAGCAGAGGGAAGATGCAGGAGTAGTCAGACAGATCCGGGCTCAGATCCCGGCTGTCACCCTCCAGCTGCCGCCTCCTCATCTGCCCACGGCTCTGGTGGAACGCCCCTCCTGCGGTCACCGTGAGGGTGACACCGGATGATGTGTGCATGGGCTCAGCCTAGTGCCCACCACACACACTCAACAATGGGAGCTGCCAGCATTCAAAACAGAAATGCACTCAAGGCATAATGGTGGCCTCAGGAAGGGCAGGGAAGCTTCTCCATCAAGAAATTTACACTGGGTCTTGGAGCACAGGAGTTCACCAGGCAGAGAAAGCAAGCAGGAAGAAAGTCTGGCAAAGGCAGTAATTCAATGGCACAGCTGCTCAGGAGACTCGGGGACCTGGTGTGGGCGGAGGCACAGTGGGGGTGAGGCCGCAGAAGGCAGGGCCCACCCACACTGTTACATAAGCCAGGATCTCGTCCTGCGGGAGACAGGGAGTCCTGAAGGGCCTTAAGAGATGGAGGAACACAATCATGTGTGCATTATAGAAAGCCCCGGGGTAGGGACCTTTGTGGAGAGTAGCTGGGAAGGGACGAGAAGAGAGGCAGGGAGACACCTTAGGAGGTTATCACAAACTCCCAGGCGAGATATCAGAAGGGCCCAGATCGGGGTGGCAGCGGGATCAATGGCGAGGAGGGCCTGAAACTTCCTCAAAATTCACCAGAGGCCCCGATTAAGTAAAGTTCAGGGCAAACTCTTGACCCCGGTGTTCAGTGCCCTCTCATCTGTACCTTTCCACCTGCTCTCAACTGCCTGCTGATGCCCCAGGAAAGCCATTGTTTGCTCCCGCATCTCTGCGCGGCTCTTGGCCCATCCTGCAGCACCTCCCCTCCCTGCCCCCATGCACACACCCACGCTGGGATTCTCCCGTCACTTACTGTCTTGACCACCTAGCATGCCATGCCTTGTGTTGAAACACCACCCTCTGGGGACTTTTATAAAAATAAACACAGTCAACACACAGCTCTAAGTAACACGATGGTTTAAGCAGGCACATTTGCCAAACCAAGGGGTTGGATTAGATGGTCTCTAAGATGCTTCTGGATCCAACATTCTCTGATCTACAATTCTAGGGCTGTTAATGAAGTAGTGGGCCTCCCCTTGATGCTTTCTTCCCCTTTGGTTACCAGGACTCCTGGGTTTCAGTTTCCGCAGCTGTAGAATCGGTAAGCTGCATCCTTCAAAGAGACACCACGGCATTTTACTCAATCAGCAAGTCATGGGGGAAAGCCAGGTACTTGGGTTAATCTAATATTCTAGCTAAGTGAAAGTCCCTGTATATACTATAAATTACCCCTTTTCAAAGAATTAGCCTTCAATAAAAGAAGAAAGCTATCCTAAAACCCATCCAAGGGAACAGAACAATCTGCGATGACTCAAGCCTCTGACAGCTGTGGAAAGCAGAGCACCACCAACAGAACAGGGCATGGGAGGGGTCCTCTCCCTGCCAAGAATGCAGAAGGGGCCATCCATCAGCAGCAGGGCGCATGCTCCCAGCACGCTAAAGCAGAGAAGGGGGGACGCAGGGCCGGCCTGGGCGTGCTCCAGGCAGCCACACTCGGGGTCTCAGGGTGCGTGCTCTGCTCCACGACTGAGTTCAGTACCCCTTCCACCGGCTTCACAACCTTATCAGCCACCACGCTCCTCTGCGTTATCCGCCAAACCCAGGACCCTTCTTCCTGGACTTGGGAGGGAGGCAGGGGTGGCATTTTCCCAGCTTGCTTCCAGTTTCCTGCCCAAGCTGCCCGCAGAGCTGGAGCCACAGCTGGGAGCCACTGGCAACCCCAGCACAATGGCAGGGCAGACCCACAACTGAGTCAAATGCTATCTGGCTTCCCAAGGCCACCAGATGG